TGTCTGTGTAAGTATGTCTGTCAGTTTGTATACGTATAATCTGTGTGTGTATATGTGCATACATCTCAGCATTCACACACTAACACTACATACAAATACACCCCTGCATTCAAACTCCAACACTAGGTACAAACACATGTCTGTGTTACACACCAAAATTATATGTAAACACACCCTTGCATTCAAAAACCAACACTACACATAAATACATGCTTGCAATCACGCCAACACCACATACAAACTTATTTTACAAAAAAACCTGTTTACATTCAAACACACAAAAACAGCGTTGTGCTAAATACAAACCTTCAAACATGGGTAAATGGTAGAGCCACAGCTGTCAATGCATTGCTGAAGTTGCACAACAGATGGGGAACTACCTTCTAATCACCCGTGCGATAGGGAGGCTCAAAAAAATTCTTGCACCGCTCTACTTTAGGTCTGCCTCTGCGTTGGGGTGGAGGACATGATTGCACACCTGGCGAGGGTACCAGGGGGCCCAAGCAAATGCTTTGCCCAGGGTCCAATCAATATTAAAGACGGCCCTGGAGGAGTCTACAGATAGAGAGACACAAAGAAGACCAGGAGATAGATCAACCATTGAACTCCAAAAGACGCAGAAATTCCCTTCAAGAGGTGGTAAATTTATCAAAAAAAGACAGAATAGAAAGGAAATGAAAGAGCTAGAAGAAAGGAATTACGATAAAAATATCAGTAGAATGGGGATTTACAACCTTAGTAATATAGAGTTAAAAAAGGAATATGTAAAAATCCTAAAGAAAGGGTTAAAATTTGCCCCTAGTAAGCATCCGAATCTTTTTGATTTCTATATAGATTTGAAAAAATTCAAAAGAAATTTGTGCCTGAAAAAGTTTTTTATCAAAAATCCATTAGAAAAACAGTTACAAATAGAGGATTAATTTCAATACACAGATCTGAAGAATAAGTCAATTTTTTTCCCTAAACAAATGATTTAAGACGAAATTATCATGTTTGAAACTATGGTTTTAAATGAATGTAAAAAAATAGACACTAAAGATAAATTCCATGATAATCTCAGCATCCAGGAAAGAAAAGCGCTTACAGAATTGAAGCATAATGAGAATATAATTATAAAGCCAGCAGATAAGGGGAGGGGGGTGAAGGGGTATAGTTGTTATGTCTACAGAATTTTATAACAAGGAGGCAACACGAATTCTGACAGACGAGAAAACGTATAATTTTTTTTCGATTTTATTAACATTTTACACCCCAAAATTCCCGTCTTTTATTTTTTACCTAAAATCTACAAAAGCGCCACGAACCCCCCGGGGAGACCAATAGTAGCAGGGATAGATGCTATATCAAATAGGCTGTCTCACTATATTGATTTACAATTTCAACCTATAGTCCAGAATACGAGATCCTATATAAAAGGCACTACAGCAGTACTCAATTTGTTAAACCAGTGTGTGTGGGAAGAAGGCCTTTTCAAGCATTTTGTTTTTCGGCACTTAAAACAAAGCACTGCCGAGCTGAATATTGGAACGCACGGTGGAAAAATCGGTTGGATGCACGCGGCTGCAAGCAGAGCCTTATCATAACCGGCCAGTCTGCAGGACCCTGGACTACGCTACCCCAGCAATACCATACCCCTTTGGCATAGTCTGTGAGTGCAATTTTAATCTTACTTGTTTTGAAATACAATTCATTCATTTAAACAGAAAACACTATGGGACTTTGTCTTATCTTCCCATAGATCAAAGACTTTTATAATACTTGGGATCTTTTCTGGGATCTTAAAGCTCATAGTTCATTGCAGAGAAATACAGTGTACAAGATAGAAACATAGAAACATAGAAACATAGAATGTGACGGCAGATAAGAACCATTCGGCCCATCTAGTCTGCCCAATTTTCTAAATACTTTCATTAGTCCCTAGTCTTATCTTATACTTAGGATAGCCTTATGCCTATCCCACGCATGCTTAAACTCCTTTTCTGTGTTAACCTCTACCACTTCAGCTGGAAGGCTATTCCATGCATCCACTACCCTCTCAGTAAAGTAATACTTCCTGATATTTTTAAACCTTTGTCCCTCTAATTTAAGACTATGTCCTCTTGTTGTGGTAGTTTTTCTTTTAAATATAGTCTCCTCCTTTACTGTGTTGATTCCCTTTATATATTTAAATGTTTATATCATATCCCCCCGTCTCGTCTTTCCTCCAAGCTATACATGTTAAGATCCTTTAACCTTTCCTGGTAAGTTTTATCCCGCAATCCATGAACCAGTTTAGTAGCCCTTCTCTGAACCCTCTCTAAGGTATCAATATCCTTCTGAAGATACGGTCTCCAGTACTGTGTACAATACTCCAAGTGAGGTCTCACCAGTGTTCTGTACAATGGCATGAGCACTTCCCTCTTTCTACTGCTAATACCTCTCCCTATACAACCAAGCATTCTGCTAGCATTTCCTGCTGCTCTATTACATTGTCTGCCTACCTTTAAGTCATCAGAAATAATCACCCCTAAATCCCTTTCCTCATATGTTGAGGTTAGGACTCTATCAAATATTCTGTACTCTGCCCTTGGGTTTTTACGTCCAAGATGCATTATCTTGCACTTATCCACATTAAATGTCAGTTGCCACAATTCTGACCATTTTTCTAGTTTACCTAAATCATTTGTCATTTGGCTTATCCCTCCTGGAACATCAACCCTGTTACATATCTTAGTATCATCAGCAAAAAGACATACCTTACCATCAAGACCTTCTGCAATATCACTAATAAAAATATTAAAGAGAATGGGTCCAAGTACAGATCCCTGAGGTACCCCACTGGTGACAAGTCCAAGCTTTGAATATATTCCATTAACTACAACCCTCTGTTGCCTGTCACTCAGCCACTGCCTTACCCATTCAACAATATTTGAATCCAAACTTAAAGATTCCAGTTTATTGATAAGCCTTCTATGTGCAACAGTGTCAAAAGCCTTACTGAAATCTAGGTAAGCAATGTCTACTGCACCACCCTGATCTATAATTTTAGTTACCCAATCAAAAAAATCAATAAGATTAGTTTGGCATGATCTCCCTGAAGTAAACCCATGTTGTCTCTGATCTTGAAATCCATGTGTTTTTAGATGTTCATCAATCCTATCCTTTAACATGGTTTCCATCACTTTCCCCACTACTGAAGTAAGGCTTACTGGCCTATAGTTGCCCGACTCCTCCCTATTACCTTTCTTGTAAATGGGCACAACATTCGCTAACTTCCAATCTTCTGGGACTACTCCTGTTAACAATGATTGGTTAAATAAATCTGTTAATGGTTTTGCTAGTACACCACTAAGCTCTTTTAATAGCTTTGGGTGTATTCCATCAGGTCCCATTGACTTATTTGTCTTTACTTTTGACAGTTGAAATAGAACCTCTTCCTCTGTAAACTCACGTGTAATAAATGACTCATTTATCCTTTTTCTCAACTGAGGTCCCTTTCCTTCATTTTCATCTGTAAATACAGAACAAAAATATTCATTGAGGCAGTCAGCTAGACCTTTATCCTCTTCTACATACCTTCCTTCTTTTGTTTTTAATCTAACTAATCCTTGTTTTACTTTTCTTTTCTCATTCATGTATCTAAAAAATCTTTTATCCCCCTTTTTTACTGACTGCTATTTTCTCTTCTGTGTGTGATTTGGAAGCTCTTATAACTTGCTTAGCCTCTTTCTGTGTGACTTATGCAAACAAGATAACAATTATATATCATCTGAAGAAGCAAGATTGTTTTTTGTACTATAGTAATATCGCTGATTTAGCAGATATACCCCAGCTAACTCAGTAACTGGGATAACTGCCACTAGCTAACATTTCAAACGACTTGTTTTGCAATTGAATCCAAACAGACTATACAAAGTTGCAGAGGTTCTTAATCCAGTCCTCAAGTACCCCCAGCAGTCCATGATTTAGGGATTACCTGGGTGTGTCTAAGGTGTTTTTTTTTTCTTCTTCTAAACACCTTAGATGTTTCCCAATAATAAGAAGTTTACATCTTGAGTTACAGAAAAAAAAAAAATCTCGATCTAGAGGCGTGGTTTTGTTCAATTAGTTTAGTCTACTTCCTGACCTGCATACTGGGTAGGTTATTTAACTAAATAGTGATGCTGCTGTGGTTGGCCAGGAAAACAGTTATTTACAAACTTAAAGGGACACTATAGTCACCTGAACAACTTTAGCTTAATGAAGCAGTTTTGGTGCATAGAACATGCCCCTGCAGCCTCACTGCTCAATCCACTGCCATTTAGGAGTTAAATCCCTTTGTTTATGAACCCTAGTCACACCTCCCTGCATGTGACTTGCACAGCCTTCCATAAACA